ATTTACATTTCCCTGATGATTAGTGATGTTGAGCATCACCTATTGGCATATATTGGGTCGCTGGAAAAGTCATGATGCATTTTTTGAAACGAAAAACATAGAAAAATATGTCATGACTTTTCCAACAACCCAATATATGTCCTCTTTGGAGAAACGTCTATTCAGATCCTCTGCCCATTTTTTAAATTGGACTGGTTTTTTTGGGTGTTAAATTGTATGGGTTCTTTATATATTTTGGATATTAACCCCTTACCGGATATATCCTTGGTGAATATCTTCTATTCAGTAGGTTGTCTTTTCATTTTGTTGATGGTTGGTTTCTTTTGCTGTGCAAAAAATTTTTTGTTTGATATAGTCCCATCTGTTTATTTTTTCTTTTGTTTCACTTGCTCGAGGAGACATATCCAAAAAAATATTCCTAAGAGTGAAGTCAACGAGTTTATTGCCTATGTGTCCTCCTAGGAGTTTTATGGTTTTAGGTCTTACATTTAAGTCTTTAATCCATTTTGAGTTTATTCTTGTATATGGTGTACGAAAGTGATCCGTTTTCATTCTTTCGCATATGTCCAGTTTTTCCAACATCATTTATGGAAGAAACTGTCTTTACTCCATTGTATATTCTTGCCTCTTTTGTCATAGATTACTTGATCATATAGGCACAAGTTTATTTCTGGGCTCTTTACTCTGTTCCATTGATCTCTGTGTCTGATTTTATGCCAGTACCATGCTGCTTTGATTACAATAGCCTTGTAGTATAGTTTGTTATTAGGGAGGGTGGTATTGCTAACTTTGTTCTTTTTTCTCAAGATTGCTTTGGCTATTCGAGGTCTTTTGTGATTCCATATACATTTTAGGATTATTTATTCTAGTTCTGTGAAAAATGCCATAGGTATTTTGATAGGGATTGCATTAAATCTGTTTATTGCTTTGGGTAGTATGGACATTTTAACAATATTAAATCTTCCTATCCATGAGCATGATATATCCTGACATTTATTTGTATCTTCAATTTCTTTTTTTTTAAATTATTTTTTATTATGAAATATACATTTTTTAGAATTAGTTTCAGCTGTGTATCTTCAATTTCTTTATAGTTTTCTGAGTACAGGTCTTTTACCTCCTTGGTTAAATTTACTCCTAGGTACTTTATTCTTTTTTGATGCAATTGTAGAAGATGCAATTGTAAATGGGATAATTTTCTTAATTTATCTTTTTGATAGTTCGTTATTGGTATAGAAAAATGCAACCGAATTCTGAATGTTACTATTTTATCCTGCTAGGTTACTGAATTCATTTATTAGTTCCAATAGCTTTTTGGTGGACTTTTTAGGATTTTCTACATATAGTATCATGTCATCCACAAATAATGACAGGTTTACTTCTTTCTTTGTATGCCCTTTTTATTTCTGTTTCTTGTCTGATTACTATGGCTAGAACTTCCAATACTATTGTGACTAAAAGTGGTGAGAGTGGGCATCCTTGACTTATTCCTGATCTTAAAGAAAAAGCTTTCAGCGTTCCACCACTGAGTATGACGTCAGCTGTGCATTTGTCATACATGGCCTTTTTTATGTTGAGGTATGTTCCCTCTATTCCCATTTTGCTGAGAATTTAAGCACAAAGGGATATTGGATTTTGTCAAATACCTTTTTCTGCATCTATTGATATGATTGTATAATTTTTAGCCTTCATTTTATGTGATGTATCATGTTAATAGATTTCTGGATATTGAACCAAACTTGCATTTCAGGAATAAATCCCACATGATCACGGTGTATGATCCTTCCACTGTATTGATGAGTTTGGTTTGGTAATCTTTTTTTTTTTAAGATTTTTATTGGGGAATTGGGGGATGGGAACAGTGCTGGGGAATTGGGGGAAGGGGAACAGACAAGTTGCTGTCATTTTGTTCTTCAGTCTAGTTGTGGAGGGCGTTGCTTCACTGGCCCAAGTTGGCACCATCATTGTGCTCTTCCCAGGCGAGGCAGATCAGTCGCCGGCCTCTGGACAGCTGCTCACGCTGGCTGCTGGCTACACACGGTAGCCCCTGGCAACCCACTGCAGCAGGGGCTGCAGCCTACGCCGTCGCTGGCGACTCACAGCAGCCCAGCTCCAGGTTGAGCTGTTGTTCAGCATCTTAGCTGTAGAGGGCAGTGTCACTGGCCCTCATATGTGGGATCTGAACCGGGGCCCTCTGGTGTCCCAAGCCAGTTCTTAACCATCGCGCCACTTGGCCGGCCCTGGCTTGGTAATCTTTTGTTGAGGATTTTTGTATTACATGTTCATCAGGAATATTGGCCTCTAATCTTTTTGGTAGTGGTCTTCATCTGGTTTTGATATCACGGTAATGCTGGCCTTGAAAAATGAGTTTGGGAGCCTTCCCTCTTCTATAATAGTTTGAGAAGGACAGTTATTCATTCTTCTTTGAATGTTTGCTAAATACTTTGTTCTACGTCTCCACCCCTCCTACAACATGGCTTTTTTGTATCCTTAGTTATAGGAATTCTCTTCATTTAGTCTTCAAGTAGTTAATGATGGCTGCCCTATAACGTAGTTTTAATCTCGATGTAGTCATGAGAAGTCTTTACCTACTCAGCCTTCTTGACCGGAAGTCGATATACTGTATTCTTTACCACAGTAAGTGAACAGCTTTGTCAATCACTGGCTGAATAAATCTCAGGCCCTAACTTTTGGGTTAATTCTAATAGTTTATGTCAGATTTGGGATTGAAGAGAATACCAAAGAAATTTTATTGAACCCTAAGATAAACTGTCTAAAGAACACCACGATATTTGTCTAATTCTTTTAGGCCTTCTAGCCACTATGTGTGATTTCTGGGTTAATCCTAGAGATCAAGCTCAAATACACACACACACACCAAATTCATTTATAATGTGCCTTAGTCCAAAATACCAAGCTATCATTTACATGCTAAACTTTTGTTAATATTTAGTATTTCATAAGGTTCGAAAATAAATAAGTACCTCACTAAAAGTTATGAAACAGTAGGGTTTATTCAGAACTTTTAACAGAATCCGCCATAGTTACATTAAGCAAGTGGCATTAGGAACTTATGAAAATGGTCTCATTCAACCCACACTGTTACTTTGAATTTCATATTTTCTGCCTTTTCATGGCCCATGAGAGTGACAGTGTGAAATAATGCTAGCCAACATATGCAAATGAAAAAGCACAACATTTAGAGTCATATCTAGGACTCCAATACAAATTTTGATAACTTTTGGGCTACATGTCCTTGGGCAAGTCACGTAATGGCAGGCAATCTTTCATAGGACTCTTGTAAGAATTTCATGAGACACCGACCTGAAAGTTCTTTTGTAAAGCAAAAACCTCATCTTCCACTATACTGAAAAGCGCATTCTGGGTAGGGAAGGAACTCTAGCTATGGCCTTTTGATTTTCACAGTGAGAAAGACTCAGTGATCACCCCTGAAGAAAGAACATCATATGACCTGTGGCATAATTAACCTTTAAGTAGAGGCCTTTTGTGGGATCTCACTGTAGTTTTTAATGTGTTTGAGACACTTTACAGGCTTTTAAAAGTTTTTCCTAGTTCCAATAATTAGTGAAAGGTAACACATCCAAAGCAGCTACTATGTGTCAGGCTCTGTACTAAGCATGTAACATAAATGAGCTCATTTCATCCTTAGAACCACCATGAGACCAGTGCTATTGTTACACCCCTTTTACAAAGAAGAAACCAAGGGCACAGGTTAGAGAAGCATCCACAGTCAGTCATGACTAGAGCCAGAATTTCATTCATTCACAGCATTCGTCAGTATTCATTATCTCTGTATTTTGTTATTTTCTCCTACTCGCATAAATCAGAACTCGATAGAGGGGGTTACAGTACTTCTGAGGTAAGAATGAGATGTCGGCCATAGTTCACAAACCTGGGATAATCAAACATACCTGATCAACTTCTCCTGTACTGGCAGAATATGCCACGTCTGCAGCGACACAGGAAGTTGGAAAGATGAACTACACAACTTTTCCCAAGCACGAAAGGAGGGCTGCAAGTTGCACTGAGTGTATGGCTGAGGCGCCTGCTCACCACGAGTCTTGAAATAGTTATTGCATGAAAAGGGTATGCGAAATATTTTCCAGATTGCCCAACCACACAGTCTTCACCCTGGCTTTGGCTTCAACCATTAAAACGTGTGGTTTGGACAGGAATCTGGAATCAATAATCTTCCTAGCACCCTGTGCTTTTCCTGCCGGCTCCAGGGTAGTCTGTTCTGTGCTGCGTTCCTTTGGGATTTCCTAGGAGATGAATTGTGTCAGTTGGTACATGTGACAGTACCTGGAAGTGATGACTTTGCGCATTATTATATGGGGTCTACAATAGGTTTGCCCTCCACAGGAGTGACGAATCTGGGAATTTAGAAGCACCCTGGCAGCTCCCTGGGAAGCTGTTTTGGAGAAGGTCCTTTTAGTAAACCTCAGAGGCAGCTTGCCTGGGCTAGCTTCAAGAGGAGCCCGGTGGCTGGAAGTTCTAGTGGCAGCAGGTTCTAGTGGCAGCAGGAGGCATGGTGGCCTAAGCTTCTGGAAGTCTGCGTAAGCAGTCAGGGCCATAGAAACATACTGATTTATTTGGGGCACAATGGTCAGGAAACTTTAATTAACTGGAAAGTACCCATACAGAAGGGGGACGCACTCCACCTTCAAGTTTTCCTTAGAAACAGGAGCAGATTTAAAACCCTGGCTAAGGCACTAATCCAATGAATGGAAACAAGAACCAGAGCAATGAATCTTATTTTGCAAAGTTATTTGAAAGGCCCAGGATGAAACCTAGAAAGGAAGACCGGTGCAGTGTCGCTGCCTTGTGCCATGTGGCTCCTTTGAGTCCCCGCCACCACTGCCGCCATTTCTATTGTTAATTTTTCAGATCTTTCAACACCACCAGCACCACCACCGCCGCCAAAAATTACACATAATTCATGACAGTAATTTACTCAACAAAGGAAACACACCTGCAACTTTTTAAATAACCAACTTCTTTTTATTATTAGAGCAGATACAGTTGTGAAAACTGTACATTATACATTTTGGTTTCAAGGATTATAAATAAAGGAACTCACGGGTAGGGAGTTCTTTTTCACAGCAAGAAACTTTAAATAAAGTCATGTTTTATTAAGTACATTGGCAGACCTCATGTGCTGTCCAAAATGTAGAGTACAGTATAACAACCCATTAGAAAGAGCCTTTCATGTAAAATACAGCTGTGCACATTTTAGAAAAATACCAACAATTTGAGCTTTGTTTTAAAAAAGCTTATAAATCATACATATATTTATAAATGTAACCAACATGCTCACTGTATAAACATATCCTTTAGTTATCTGTTACCCATTATTTCAAAGCATTACACATTTTAAATAAACACTGAATAAGATTAAATATTAAAAAAAAAGAAATCAGCTTTCCAGCGTCAAGAGCTACGGGGTCAGGATGGAGAAGTGAGAGTATTGAGACTGACACAGGAACTTCAACGTTTCTTGGGTAAAAACGTACTTCCTAAATTTAAAAGTCAAAGCAAAATGTAAAAAATAAATAAATATACAAGTTGTAACTTTCATTTGCTCTCTTTCTGCTTTCTTCTGTTCCACATTGGTCACACCCAGGAGTCTTAACGTATTGCACTTCTGCAGAAAATGCCACCGGGCTCCGACTCAGCCCACACCTGTGCTAACACCTGACGATCTCTTCTGCAGTGAAAAGGCAAGTAAGGTAAAAAGAATCTGATTGAACCGTGCAGGTCATAAAGTATTTAGGAATAGCTCCCTCTCCGCAATGCAATGTTTCATAGAGATTTAACAGAAACCTTTCCTCCCCTGATTTTTTTTTTTTGAAATAATTACTTTTAGAAAGACCATGTAGTTTCTCGAAGTAAGCATGCTTCTGAGTAATAAAGGATACATTATAAAACAGCAAAAAAAAAAAAGAGTATGTCAGAATAACAAAGGACTGCAAAAGACAAGTATTTAAACAAAAATGTCTAAGCCTTTAAAATGTGAAATAAAATTACAAAAGGACTTTGAAAAAACACAAAGCAGTCATTTCACAAAGCTCTACCTGAATGTATTCAATGAAAATTTTTCAGTTGGAAAAAAAAAAAAAGAAAGAGAAGAGCAGTTATTAATAGCATCTTGCTTAACTTTCATGGGAATTAACATAGCCACTGACAAGATTTTATTTGGTTGTAAAGTACGTCAGCAATGAAACTGAATCCTTCGGACACCGATTACTGCAATCCATGCAACATTTTGACTCTACTTCATAGAATTCGGTTGTCTTTCAGCTTTTTCAAATTTAGCACCTCCTAAGTGCATAAATAATTCATCTCAGCGTTAAAAATATTTAACATGAAATGATTTCTTAGGAAGGTATAATGCTTTCAAGTTGCTCAATGTTAAAGATAAACAGCCTCTTACAAAAGGTTTCGGAAGACTCAACGACATGAAAAATGATGTATTGCTCTCAAAAATCAACACATTGTTCTCTAGAATTTCGTTGTTTCTTTTCCTTGAGACGCGACACGTGTATTACATCCGGCCAGGAACGCTCGTCGTAGGTGACTATACATCGCATTTCAAGAAAACAGCAAAAAAGGAACACAGTCGTGCAGAAGCCAACAAAAGGTTCCCTCCCAGGACATTCCGGGAGATGGTCAAGCAGCAGGTCATGGCATAAGACTGGTGAGTGAGTGAGGCCGCACCTATTTCTTCTAATGAGACAGGAGCGAATGCTGGAAGCACGGGCCGCAGCAACACATTCCTCCGACCGCATTCCTCAGGCCATCGTTTGTTTCCCCAGCTCCCTACTAAAAACGTCAGATGGTAAAATAGTAAGGCAGCTGTTGACTTCCATCAAAAAAAAAAAAAAAAAAAAAAAAAAAATGCAGTTCCATACATTTCCAGTTTAGTCACACTCTGCTAGGACAGATGGAGTAACCAATGCCAAGAACTTCGCCGGATGGGGCTGCTTCAGCAGATTTTAAAAGAGAATGATTATTAAGTTTTGCTCTCCATCATGGCTGCTTGCTTCAGAGGACCCCAAAGCCACCACGCACTCCCGGGGGGGGGGGGGGAACGGGACCGAACAGGTCCTCTGGCTGCATTTTCCAAGTTTTAGCTCTCTCGCAATCCCATCCTAATTCCAAGCCTCCTTCCCTGTGTCTGAGTCTGACTGGGGTTTGCCATTTAAAGGGCTGATGACACCACTGCAGAGAACTGTGGGCTAACACCACTAGTTGTCATGACTTCACTGAAGGGTCAAAACAGTTAGATCATTAAGTAACTATGTTGAACTGCATTCAGACACAGCCAAAATTAAAGTGAAGGACAATACATCGTCGTTAAAAAAAAAAAAAAGTAAATTTGAATATGGGAAATGAATGCTATAGTTTGGGATTTTTATACAGAAATTAAGGCTAGTCTTACCTTTCCTAATTCCAATCAAGTTAGAAAGTGAACAAAAAGGATGGCCAACCCGATATTCAGCAGCATGACAAGGACAATCATGACTGAATTAGGGCCCTGGAAATGAAACAGAACAAGCATAACTTTTCCATGTTAATATCAGTATATCAATTAGCGCGCAAAGCCAATTACCAAAAATATATTAAAAACCCCCCAACAGTTGCAGTAAATAAAGCCATGATTAATAACAGCAGTTACAAGAGGCAGAAACTAAAAATAGCAATGCCGTATTTAGATGGAGCCATCTCTGAACTTTCACTTAAAAATGAATCCAGTCTTGACTAGATCTAAAAATGCCTTGAAAATCATCTGCTTTATTCACCTCAAAACATCGGGCAGTAGTCTGAGACATACTTCACCATCACAGGGTTAAGGAGGGACTGACGGGAATGAGTTAGGCATTTTTTCTCAAGGTGTAATCTGGACGAGGAAGAATTATTTCCTCATACAGATTTCTAGAATGTGGGCGTAAGACCTGTAGGGACAGTGAGGCCTCCTGGGAAAAATTGAGGGAAAATGCACAATGAAGTTCTCTGACTCTTGCTTTTCCTGGTTGTCTGCCCTTCCTTAAAATAAAGGCTGCCAAGTGGGCAGCTGAACACATTCAGGAATTATTTTACAGGTCTAGCTTTCTGCTTCTCGCTCATAACCACATTTCTGAAATCAAGTTATCTTTAGTCTCAGAATCCTATTTCAATAAATACCGTTGTAAGAAATACCCCACAGCCCAAGGTATCCAAACTTGACTTGTTTTAAAAGAAACAAACTGGCCTTAGATGCCCCATCTTTTAAGATCTGCCCAAGTTTGGCAATCTTTATTACAAAGACACTATCTTGGTGTTTATTACTAAAATGTCCAATTCTTCAATAGCATTAAAAGTGTTCTAAAGCTGGTCTTGCGATGTACATGGGGAGGTAGTTTTGTTCCTACTTTAAAGATGAGGGAACAATTGTACTATGTTTATCCAGCGAGGCTGCACTGACACTGTTACCGTCCTCAGGTGTTGGATTGGTGTTATTTTGGGTAAGAATGGGGTTGAGGAAGGGAGGCTGGAACTGCCACTGGTCCAATGCTCATCTCCCAGGGTCTATGGCTTGGGTGACAGAACCTCTCGATGAGGTAGTTTTGTTCCTACTTTAAAGATGAGGGAACAGCTGTACTATGTTTATCCACGGTAGAAGTCCGAGTGCGTGTGGCGTGTGCCATTCTTTCTCTATCCTAAGGCTTCACACTTTATTCTCCTTGCTTGTTAACTGCCATTGTCCCCCCTAGGCTGAGTGCCACAGTGGCAGGGGCCCTGCCCTGTTCACCACTGGGCACCCACCACGGGGCTGCCCAATTCAGTCAGGCAACCAATGTTTCATGAAACAGTGGGCCGAGGCTCCTGTGCAGGCTGTTTTGGAAAATTCTTCACAAGTGATCATTAGTTCCATTTTACAGAGCTCTGAGAGGGGTGTTGCCCAGGGTTCCTCAGCCAGTTTGAACAAATTAGAACTAGAATTAAACTTCCGTGTTCTTTTCTCTACATCCCTATTAAAGCCACAGGCCTTAGTCTAAAAATACTAATTTCCCATCAACTTCTTTAAAACGGCACGTTCATCTGTATCCTAGGATTCTACAGTATCAGAAAAACATCACATTTTGCTAGCGACTGGTGGTTCTTTTAAAATAGGTGTGTGCTAAAGGAGTTGGGGGTACTAACCGAGGCAGTGTCTCCGTTACGGTTAACTCTGGACAGATACATAACGGAGGGAACTCTTACAACTCAGAAAATAATTGAGATGATCTTTCAACAGCATAACTCAGCCTGGGGATTAAGGAAATGCTACGAACACTACCAACTGGGATTAGATTTTGTTCATGAATGTGTTAAGAATTTGGGGATTGCTTCTAGTCTTTCGGGGTGGTGGATTGACTTCGAAATTCCCAAAGGCAGCGAGCGATCGGAAAGGTGAGGACTAGCATACAGGGGTAGGACACTACACTGTAGAGTTCAGGGTCTTACAGTGGACCCAGGGGGAGGAGAATCAGAGACAGTGCCTTCAGGGAAGCCAAGTTCAAATGCTTAAGGTGTGTGTGCCTGGACCTTTGCTTCCTATTTTGTATATCCTCACAAGGCTCCACGAGTTGATCTAACCTTTTTGAGTTGGTTGGTATTTTGGGCTTGAGTAGTACTCTTTTCTGCTGAACACATACATACACTTATCGTATACACTGGACTATGCACGCCCATTTACCCTACAGGACAGCTCCATTTATAAAGGGGTCTTTACAAAGATGACTCCGTGAAGATGAGGGTCCCAGCAACCAGGTAAAAAGTAAGCTCTGGGATGCTGGGTTTCATGGGCAGATAGCAAGGCGCGACCTCTGTGTTCCTCAGATGCCTCGACTGGGTACAAGGTGGAAAGCTTTAAGGTGAAGTTTCATAAATATGACTGGTGGCCAGTGGTGGCTTAAAATAGCAAAATAAAAAAAAAATCAGTCTTGCTTTTCAAGACTGATTGGGACAGGTGTGATGAAACACGCTGGAGCAGGACAAAGTGCAAGTCCTGATGGGAAGAAAACTTCAGGTGGTTCAAGTGCAGGGAGTCAAAATACGGAAAGGAGTTGTAACTCAGGAAATCAATTATTTTCCCCGCAAGAGGCTATCCACTCGCTTGAAATTACTAAGAATCTTCTGCTAAAGAGTTAGTGTCGTTTACGTTACGTCAAAAGCTTCTCCTCAATCAGGAAAGAACAAAGCTTCATTTAGTCTTCATGGCAAAATTTAGTATGTGTTTACTGTTTTATCATGTGTGTGTGTGTGTGGTGCAAACATGATCTGATGGGAGGGCCTTAGGTTTCACAACGGTTCAAAAGCAGTACCAGGTACATCTCAAAATAAACCTGGAAGCTGATCAGAGTGACGGCTAAGAAAGCGCAGGCAGTTTTCAGGAGGGGCTGAGACTCCTGTTTGAGAACTAGACCCCTCACCAGTCTAGGTGACAAGGCTCTACAGATGCCTCTCCTGGCTCCTACCCGAGTCGGCAGGTTGCAAAGTCCTCCCCAGACTGTGGGCTCACAGAGGGTGTGCTGTCCTGGGATGTGAGTCCTGCTGCCACCCTTGTCCACAGGAGTCAGAGTTTTCGAGGAGGGGTGTGGAGTAACCCTGCCCTAGCTTCCTTCTGCTCTCTCTCAGAGTCACGTAACTAATCTGCTCTAAGTGTCAGCCTGTGTCCCAGGTTTTCTGTGTTTCTAAGAGCAGAAGAGCCGGAGTGATCCTCAGGACGGGCCAGAACCTACTGGAATACAGCAGGTCCTCAAATCACGTTAGTTTTTCAACATGGTTCTGTGGTAACATGGATGGGAGGAAAAAAACCCCCCACTAATTTCCAGCCAGGGCCACTGTCTGTGTGGAGTTTTCCCATTCTCCCCATGTCTGTGGGTTTTCTCTGGGGACTCCAGGTTCCTGCCATACCCCAAAGATGTCCACGTGCGGTGAATGGATGTGTCCCCATTCTCCCTGTCTGAGTGGGTGTGGGCGTGAGTGGCCCTGCGAGGGAAGGGCGTGCTGTCCAGGTGGGTCCCGCCTGGTGGCCTGAGCTGGGATAAGTGGGGTGGAAAATAGTTATTGTACTTGCGTTTCTTCTTCTTCCTTAAACATGTATAGCTTACATTTATTTCAATGTTTAGTATGAGGAGTATTTGGGTCTCTGTTTAGAAGTTTGGTGATGCTTTTTGTGACCAGGAATATGCTATAGGAACTTGTTTCTGTCAATTAACCTGCGGTCAAATTGGTCTTGTTACCACTGTTTCACTTCAAGTCACAGTTTTCAAGAACCTATCTAGGACTTACTGTATTTATGAATGTTTTATGCTTCAACTGGTACAGTGCTGAAGCAAAGTTGATAATAGCCAATGCTATCTGAGTACTATGTGCTGGGGCGCTATGCTAAGAACTTGATAAGTATTCACACATTTAATCTTCACAACAGTTCTATGATACAGGCACACATGGGGGAACGACAGGAAACTAACTCACAGAGCAGTTAGGAAACTCGCCCCAGGTCACACAACAGGGAAGCCACGTGGCTGGAGGGGGAACCTAGGAAGTTTGGCATCTCAGCTCACACCTGCAGCCACTAACTTGTTCTGTCTTACTAGCTTGTTCTGTCTTAACAGGCTGGCTAACGGGAATTCCAGACTCAGCTGGGTGAGCCACCCTACAAATGGCGATTCTGCCTCCAAGAGCACTGACGGGTTCGGTCTGGCTTTCCCGCAGATGTCTGCTTTCCTGTGAAGGCTTCTATGAATTTCCAAGTTGTTACTGATAAACCTCTAACTCGGTGCCTGAAACTCAGAACTGTATGTAGTGCTCCTTGGTTTTAAAGGCTGTCCGACTGCCTTTGTGATGATTTTGTCACATCCTAACCCTGTGAAGAAAACAGTCATTAGGGTGTGGAAGGCAGCTGTCTTAGTCGTAGGAAGAGAAGGTTCATTGGTAAAATCTTCCCACAAAGGTGCCATGTCAGTCTTGACTTCCGGTTCCCCCCTGCGCAGGTGGGAGCTGCTTAGCCTCGTCTCCCCTTGGGGTACGAAAGGGAACCCTAGAGGCCAACGGGCTGGGCTGGAGGATGCGTGGCCCACTCCAGGCATCACACAGTTCTGCACATAATGTAAAACAGAGGCTTTTTCTACGCAAGGAGACGACTGTGACAGGTAAGAGCCAGGTAACTCACCTAACGTGTAGGACACGGGGGCAGACGCTTCCCCTTGGGCTGTTCTGGAGGTCACCTGAACCCCACTATGGAACCCAAAGGTGTAAGCTATGGGGCCCTGCGTTGTTTGAACTTCCCCCTTGTAAGTCAGGCAAACTTGAGCCAATATATATGTGAGGCTTACGACTCTGTGGATATAAATGCTGAAAGCCAAATGAGAAGTGAACTGTTACATTTAATAAATTCAACAGTGATATTATCATATATCTTATAGTTATAATATCAGGATACTGAAATAGCAATGCTGAAATTAAAAAAGCAAACAGAAAAACGAGTGCTTCCTGAATAGTCCGAATCTGTTTTGAAAACCATCTCTTCCCATGGAAGTTGACTCTCAGAAAGTTAATCCAGTTAATCTGATTAATTTATACTTAGACAATTGAAAAGTTGAGGATTTGAAAGAAGGGTGGGAACCAGTGTTTGCAGATATTAGCAAAATAAACAAATATAAGAAATTTCAAAATAAGTTAATTAAAGAGATGAATTTCCATTGTTTAACACTAAGGGTAAACTGAACAGACAAGAGAAACTGATGGTTGTATTATATTCTTAATGGCCAAGACATTAACGCACACCTTTATGCAAATGTATCTCTGAAATTACCTGTAAATACTGGGTTGGCTGTGGCTTCTTCCCTAAGCTACGATTAACATGCAACACCTCTGCTCCAAAGGCATATGAACAGGTCAGTTGACTGTGTATCAAACATGACTTAGCTTCAGATTTTATAAATTCTACACAATGGGATAAAATATGTATTCCATATATCACCATCAAATAAATCTCATTGGCATGAGGATACAGACATTTACCAATAACTGAAAGGATGAATGCTCAACAGGGAAGAAAACTAGCATCTACCAGAACACTGAATTTTTAGGAGCACTTGCAGTCTGAGGGGTTAAAAGACCAAAGTAGTTTTCTTAAACAGTTGAAAAATTTCAGTTCTCATATGGGAAAGCATGAAGGTCTAGCTGCAAAGCCTGGCTCATTAAGTAAAAGCAAACTAAATATTTGAGACTAATTTGCAGTAGCAAGAAAAGATGTTCTTTCATCTGAAGGTGCTGACTGTTTTTTGGGGGGGGGGAACGGACAAAAAAACGTGGGCTAAGAATTAGCAAATGGCAGGGGAGTCCTCATCTTAGCTAGACCTTTGAGGGTGGCCAGCCCTCGGCAGGGCTCACGGTTCCTTTGTGACCATGAGAGAGTTCGCGGTTGTTACGGATTGTATGTGTGTGTTCTCCCAGGATTTGTGGGATGAAACCCAAATCCCCAGTGTGATGGGGCCTGTGAGAGGAGACTGGGTTATGAGGGTGGAGCCCTCATGATCGGGTTAGTGCCCTTCCAGGAAGAGAGACAGTTTGCTTCCTCTCTCTCTCAGCTACATGAGGGCCCAGCAAGGTGATGGGCTATGAACCAGGAAGTGGGCTCTCAGCAGACACCAAATCTGCTGGCGCCGTGAGGTGGGGACCATCCCCAGCCTCTAGAAATGTGGGAAATCAATGTGTGTCCTTTAGGCCCCCCGATCTATGGTCTTTTTGTTATAGCAGTCTGACAGTTGCTACGCGGCTTTCAGGAAGTGCCGTAAAGATCTGCTAACGCGTGACACTGTAGCTCGCTGGTCCTGACTGAACCCCACGTCTAGGTGTCAGGGGCAGGTGGGTGGCTGGCTGAGTGACCACCGAGAGCTCTCTCCTGCCTCCTGCTACGAATGTGCTCAGATCTCTTATCAGCCCTGTGCGCGTCAGGACTTTTGCTAGCTTCGTGCCATCAAGGTGCTGGTCACCCCATGCTGCTACCTGGAGAACTGGGGGGAAGAAAAGGGGAGAAACACCCGTGTTGCCCAACTTACTGAATTGGCTTCTTTTTCCAAAGAAGGGTATGAATCTTGGCTTGCTGGATTCTTTGGTATAGCAAGTTCGGACTTCTTAGCTTTTGGCTCAGCTTTGCTTTCTTTGGCAACTGATTTTGTCACAGATTTTGGGGCGCTCCACTTGTTGGGCGATGGCTTGTGCACCAGTGCTGAGGAGGAGTGGCTGGCGCCTTCGTCTTCCTCTCTGTCTTCTGTAGGCTGCTTGGGGGCGTTCAGTTTCACGTAGTAGCCGTGGTACTGCGAGTGCAGCTCCCCGTTACCAGGGTTGGGGACGTAGTGGCGGCCAGAGTACTTGGACGGGGGTGCTCCCGCCTCCTTCGAGGGGGCTTTTGACATCAAGGGCTTGTTGACGACGGCTGTCACCTGCTCATCAGCCACACTCCTTTTGTCTCGGTTGAGTCTGGCCCCGGGGTTCTGCTTCCTCACGGGCTTTGGGGAGAGCTCGGGAGAGTGGCTTTGTTTGGGACTCGCCTCGGGAGACTGTGGGGGTGTCGTGCCTTTGCGATAAAAATGGGGAGATTCTCTTGGAGAAGGAGGCTTCTCTGGTACCTTTTCTTCTGGATTTTCTTTAGCATCGACCCCTTCCTGAAATCTCTGTTTGATATAATCTGGGCCTGGGGAAAAACGACAAAGGAAAGGAAGGTGATAAAAATAAGGCATAAAGGCTTGTTCCTTGTGATATGTATGCACAGAAGGTCCTCTGCAATGTTCCGTTCAGCACCATTTTGTGGTAACGTTGATGGGACGCTACAGGAACGTAAGTCTTGTTTCTATCAGTTGGTAAGGTTTTGTCATATGTCATTTCAGTTAAAGTCACAGAATCTATCGACGGTGTTAAGTGAGGACTTAAGCAAAAACACACAGTAAGTCTGCTTAGCCTTTTCTCTTTTTCTTTTAAATACACTTATGAGGCTTTGAGTAAAAACAAGCACATTTCATTCCCCCCAGGGGAAAAGATTATTGCTGGGAAAAATGTTTTTATGTGAATATATACCATTATTTATACTATTTGAGAGCCATCGTTAAACAGTTGTGACCTCCCTAAGAATTGCACTGCTCCTGCTGCGTACAGAACACTGAGGCAAAATTCACATTGATGTGCATGGCTGACACACCAGCTAATCTGCGTATTCAAATTACACAGCGCAACTAAAACACTAATGATGCGCTCATCAATAAAACTGACTTGTATGTTTAATATTTAATCTGAAAACACTTAAATTAATATTTAATTACCTCCACTATAAGAGGAGAACCTGCAGATACCATGTTTTATGTTTTTAATGATCCTCCCTCAAAGGATCATTCAAATGTCCCAGTTGGCAATGACATCTGTGGTTTAGGTTGCACTTTACAAACTAACTTACCCGGAGCCCTTCCCAGCACGGACTGGCACCAAAGGCAAGACAGGGCAATCATCTTTGGCTCTCTAGTGTCAGGATTTTTTCCCCCTGAATACTTTGGGGTTGTTTAAAACAATCACATGTTATTTTTATAAATGGGAACCCTGTCATTTAAAAAAAGGGACCCTGGTGCATTGTTGTTTTACGGGGAGCTCTGGGGTGGGAAAGGAGTGAAGAGGAAAGACACACAGTGCGGCTCAAGATGCCACAGGTTGTGAGAGCGTAAGGACGTCAGTGTCCAGGACGGGCGTGCTGCTTGGGCTCTCAGGTAGCACTCCAAGGTGGTACCGTCCTTCTAGGCACTCTGCTTCTCAGCCACTTTTCATGTCACGCAAGGTGAAGTCAAGGTCACACAGTGGCTCTGGTGCTCTTTCCTGCACATGGACTGACCATGTCACCTCTCGTGTGTACAAGGGAGCAACAACCCCACCAACGTACCTACAGGATTTGACCAGCTCTTGTCAACTCCACAGCTCTGTTCACTGCCTGTCCCACCCCCACCCCCACCCTCAGGGGCTAAAGAGCCATTATCCTGAATTGCTAAAAATACATGCTGCTACTTACACTTTTAATTGTGTTTCCCAGTGAGGGTCTGAACAATAACTTATTGTTAGGAGACTGCCTTTTATGATACAAGGTATTTTCCAAAACTCACAGCCTCACTCAAATCTTAGGGAGCAGGCATTATCCTGATTTGACTGATGTGGAAACAGCTGTAGCAGCTGGAAAACCAAAAGTCACATAGCACCTGTGTATCCTTAAGAGGAAGCAGAATGCAACCTACGATGTAATGTAACAGTTTAAGCCCACAAATGAGGACTCCTAAGGACCCACAATTCTAGGTTGTGGTCAAGACCCCAAACATAAGAGCACTGTCCTACTTTCCATCCTCCAGAAGATAAGTCCACCCCGGAGGGCTCAGATTTCCCCCAACAGGTCAAGACTGCATGTCAGCCATGGAGAGTTCCTGTCTATACTCAGGAACTGTCTATAAGCAATTTTAAGTCCTCCATCAAAAATGGCCGTATCACTTGCAGGCACAGAGAAAGGCCTATCACTTGAGTGAAGAAAAAGGGGCAACTGCAATTATTCAAAAGGTGGATCTCGGTCCCCAAATTCGTTCTTGGTGCGGTGACCGGGACCCACGCGCGAGAAAGCAGCAGCCATCAGCAGTGATGTGTTTCACCTGCAGGCTTGGCCCTACTTTCTAGAACCCGCTTAAGCCATCTGTATGGTTCTTTCATAGAAAGGCCCTTCTTTATACTACTGCGGAACTGTTTTAATCACAAAACCCCTCCTCCATCAAAGCAGCTCTTGAGAAAGGTGACAGCTGCCAGCCAGGATGTGACTGTTGAAACACTAACAGCTACAAGAGACTGAGATTATTTGCGGGGGAAACTCAGGTAATTCAGTAATCATGGGTCCAAGGAAAATAATTATTTTTGTAAAGTCAGCACTTAAAGTCATATGTTTTAGTTATCTGAAAAAAGAGCACAAACCTGTAATACTTGAATATAAAGCACAATTTCCAAAGCTTTCTGTAAACAGTATAAATTAAGAGGTAGGCGGAGTCCTAGTTACTATCATTAATAGACCGAGTTGGGAAGAATTTGGCCATTGGAGGGATTTGTATTGATGGATTTATGAAGCGATATTTTGGATTCCACTGAATGCATTTATCATATTAACTCATACACTGGTCTAATTAATCACTCCTTTAGCTATCCAACGTGTTGCTTCTTTGGACACAGTTTTCCTGTCCTAAATGAATGAGGAAAGGCATTTCTTACATGATTACTTGGGCCTATGTTTCCTAAGATGCATATATTCATTCAAGCTTCATCGACAGGGCTTCTGATGGTATTCAAAATCTGTTGGACAGAAAGAATTTACTAGAATGGTGCAAGTACACTCTAGTGCCAACTTTCAGGTTAAAAAAACCCCCCCAAACCCCCTTAGCTTTATGATGCATTAAAAACAGCTGATAAGGGAATAAATGTACTCTGAAGCAGTGGCTCCACATTTGCCGCCAGGAAGAGGCTCCTGGGGTATGATTTCCAGAGACTTTAATTTCATGAGTATGAATCAAAGCCTAGAAACCTTGATGTTTAACAAATGCTCCAGGTGCCTCTATAGTACCCAGTGATAGGCGTTTGAAAGCATGCAAAAAAAAGATAAAAAAATGCGTTGACTGGTGGTGACTTAATTCCAGGCTTACATTGACTACAGCCAGTTGGACATGGTTCCAACATGGCACGGTCAGATGGAGACTGGGCAGCTAACTGAGAACATACAGCTAAAATTTCCAGAATAAGATGAAATGTGTTTTAAACATGGTAATGCAAAGGACAGAAGTTTTTCCTGACTGTTTTCTTGGAAGGCACACGTTGTGCCTGCGACTTCTTCAGTGTCGTGATGTGTGGGGGCTCCATCCATGCCGGCAGCAGCGTGAGGTGGATGAGATACAGCAGTTCCTTAAAAAGGCCGGTCGGACTATTGCCAGGGAGGGAAATGATGGAACGTGTTAAGAGTTGCTGCAGTCAGCACTCACATCTGTTTTTATAGGCAGTTTCTACGAATCCTCAGGGATTTATCACCTAAGGATTCATATTGGGATATCGGTCATGTACTCACTGCCACGCCACACAATACGAAAACACGAACATTCAGCAAATATCATCCACCGACACTGAAAGGTTCCTTGTTACAGTTGGCATGAAGGCTCGGCGCAGATATGGCAGATGGTAACAGCGGGGTACCCAGCGCCTTCTTACAGGTGAGCCTCGGTGGGCTGGCTGGGGCAGGAGCTGCCCCGGGAAGGTTCTCCAAATGTCTACAAGGGCAGTGCTGATAGCCAGGGCTTTGTAGCAACATCAGAGTAATTAAATAGAAATTAGATCTCTTCGATGGAGATGGCCCATCAGTAAAGAGAGGACCAGATTGAAAGGTTCTAAAAAGATTACATAAGTGGGGGTAAGAATCTTGTATGTGCTGTAGTGGAAAGAAAGCCTCCCAGTCCCATCTGTGACAACCCTGCCACTTCTGTGAGCACAGCCGTAGTGGTCCGGTCTGCAGGACGTCCGTTCTTGTCCCTTGCGCATGGCTGGCCCCTCACATTGTGGAACCAGATGAGTACGTGGTGAAAAATAACCAGCAAAACCATGAATTGTTAATTTCATGTCAAGCAGTAGATTATTCCAGTTCCCATTATTTTTATGGAAAACATTTGTTCGAAATTTTGGGTTTTAGAAAGTGAGTTGAGAAGTCGTCTATTCTAGGATGTTTCCCTTGTTTTAACCAAAAATATATTAACGACAGGCATTTCCAAAGACTCCTCATTCACACCAGAAACGTGAGCTTACTTAACAGAGTCCACAGTTGCCAATGCCAAACAATTCCTGTTTCCCCTTAATTTACAGTGCGTGCTCACATACGTGCCATTATGGACTAAATGTGAAGCCTCGCCTTGCTGGTATGTGAAGGTGAGGCCTTTGGGAGGTGAGTAGGTTTAGATTAATTAGATCGTGAGTGTGGGATCCTCAGGATGGAATGAGTGATCTTATAATAAGAGGAGGAGACAGCCAAGTTCTGACTCCACACCTCAATGCACCCAGGGGCGGCCAGGTGAGGACACGTGGAGAAGACAGTTTATGCTGCATCCTGTCCCTGGACTTCAGAGAAGGGGGTCACACCTTCCTCTTTCCTTTCCACCCACTTAACCACCTCCCTCTCCTTGGGGACAAGGTGCCCCCTTCCTCTCTCTCTCTTTTTTTTTTCACCTACCTCTTTCTCCTGGGCTATCTGTCTGAAGG